CAAATTGGTGTTCTAAATTTCTTACAAAGAACGTAATTAAATAACTGATCCATTAAAAAAAAAGAGAGAGAAAGGACCCAAATAAAGAAAAACACAAATGAGAGGGGAGAAATAACATCACATAAATATAAACAATTATGAGAATATTATGAAAAATTATATGCCAACAAATTGGACAACCTGGAAGAAATGAATAAATGCCTAGGAAACATATAAACTACCAAAACTGAAATGGGAAGAAATAGAAAACTTGAACAGACTGATAACCAGCAAAGAAATTGAATCAGTAATAAAAAATCTCCCATAAAACAAAAGTCCAGGGCCAGATAGCTTCACAAGGGAATTCTACCAAACATTTAAAGAAGAGTTAATACTTATTCTTCTCAAACTATTCCAAAAAACAGAAAAGGAAGGAAAGCTTCCAAATTCATTCTTTGAGGCTGGCATTACCATGATTCTAAAACCAAAGACTCCACTAAAAAAGAGAGCTACAGGCCAATCTCCCTGATGAACATGGATGCAAAAATTCTCAGCAAAACACTAGGAAATCAAATCTAATAGTACATTAAAAGAATCATTCACCACAATCAAGTAGGATTTATTCCTGGGCTGCGAGGGTGGTTCAATATTCACAAATCAATCCACATGATACACCACATTAATAAAAGAAAGGATAAGAACCATATGATTCTTTCAATAGATGCAGAAAATGCATTTGACAAAGTGCAATATCCATTCATGATAAAATCCTCAACAAAGTATGGAAGAGAGGGAACAAACCTCAACATAATAAAGGCCATATATGAAAACCCCACAGCAAATATCATCCTCAACGGGGAAAAACAGAGCTTTTCCTCCACAGTCAGGAACAAGACAGGGATGTTCACTCTCACCACTGTTATTTAACATAGTACTGGAAGTCCTAGCTTCAGTAATCAGACAACAGTAAGAAATAAAAGGCATCCAAATTAGCAAGAAAGAAGTCAAACTTTCACTATTTGTAGATGACATTACACTATATATAGAAAACCCAAGACTCCACCAAAAAATTGCTAGCACTGATACATGAATTCAGTAAAGTCGTAGTATACAAAATCAACGTACAGAAATCTGTTGCATTTCTGTGTACCAATAATGAACCAGCAGAAAGAGAAATCAAGGAATCCATCCCACTTACAATTGCACCAAAAACCATAAGATACCTAGGAATAAACCTAAACAAAGAGGTAAATGATCTGTACTCTGAAAACCACAGAACACTTAGGAAAGAAACTGAAAATGACACAAAGAAATGGAAAGACATCCCACACTAGTGGATTGGAGGAACAAATGTTGTTAAAATGTCTGTACTACCCAAGGCAATCTACACATTTAATGCAATCCCTATCAAAATACCATGAGCATTTTTCACAGAGCTAGAACAACCCACCCTAAAATTTGTATGGAACCACAAAAGACCCCGAATAGCCAAAGCAATCTTTAAAAAGAAAAGCAAAGCTGGAGGCATCACAATTCTGGACTTCAGAATTCAGCTATAGTTATCAAGACAGTATGGTACTGGCACAAAAATAGACACATAGATCAATGGAAGAGAACAGAAAACCCAGAAATGAACCCAGAACTATATGATCAATTAATCTTCAACAAAGTAGGAAAGAATATCCAATGGAAAAAAGACAGTCTCTTCAGTATTGAAGTGTTGGGAAAACTGGACAGTAACATGCAAAAGAATGAAACTGGACCACTTTCTTACACCATACACAAAAATAAATTCAAAACGGATTAAAGACCTAAATGTGAGACAGGAAACCATCAAAATCCTGGAGGAGAACACAGGCAGTAACGTCTTTTGACATCGGCCAAAGCAACTTCTTACTAGGTATATCTCCTGAGGCAAGGGAAACAAAAGCAAAAATAAACTATAGGGACTTCATCAAAATAAAAAGTTTCTGCACAGCGAAGGAAACCATCAACAAAACTAAAAGGTAACCTATGGAATAGGAGAAGATATTTGCAAATGACATATCTGATAAACGGTTAGTATCCAAAAAATAGAAAGAACTTATAAAACTCAACACCCAAAAAACAAATAATCCAATTTAAAAAATGGGCAGAAGACATGCACAGACATTTTTCCAAAGAAGACATACAGATGGCCAACAGACCCATGAAAGCATGCTCAACATCACTCATCATTAGGGAAATACAAATCAAACTACAATGATATCACAGCTGTCAGAATGGCTAAAATCAAGAACACAAGAAACAACAGGTGTTGGTGAGTATGTGGAGACAGGGGACCCTTTGTGCACTGTTGGTGGGAATGCAAACTGGTGCAGCCACTCTGGAAAACATCATGGAGATTCCTCAAAAAGTTAAAAATAGAACTACTCTACGATCCAGGTCTTAGAGATTCTCAGCAATTATCATGAAAGAATCTTACAAAGCTTGTCAGTTAGTCCAGACTAAAATTCTTAATTCATAGCTAGCACCATTCATTGTCTTTTTTGTACCCAAGTTATAGATCCCTTGAGGACAATGCCGGTATCCTTTTAAAATGTGCAGTTCTCTTAAATATATCAAATACATGCAGTAATCACACTACTAGGTATTTACCCAAAAGATACAAAAATACTTATTCAAAGGGATACATCCACACTGATGTTTATAGCAGCATTATCTACAATAGCCAATTATGGAAGGAGCCCTAGTGTCCATGGACTGATGAATAAAAAAGATGTGATATATGTATATAAAATGGAATATTACCAAGCCATTAAAAAAGGAATGCTATCTTGCCATTTGCAATGGTGTGGACAGAGCTAAAGAGTATAATGCTAAAGGAAATAAGTCAGTCAGAGAAAGACAAATACCATGATTTCACTCACACGTGGAATTTAAAAAACAAAACAAATGAACATGGAACGAAAGAAGCAAATCAAGAAACAGACTCTTAAATATAGAGAACAGAGTTACTGGAGGGGAGGTGGGTGGGGATGGGTTAAATAGGTGATGGGTATTAAGGAGTGCACCTGTTGTGATTAGCACTGGGTGTTGTATGTAAGTGATGAATTATTAAATTCTACACCTGAAACTAAGATTACACTGTGTTAACTAACTGGAATTTAAATAAAAATTTGGAGAAAAACAATTATTTTGACTGCTTACAGAACAGGGTGCAATAGAACACAGGTTGAAAACCACTACTTTTGATTCTTAAAACCAAACTAAAAAAAAAAAAATCAATGACCAAATAATTTTCTCAAGGCAGGAATTTGGCAATTATTTTTGTTGGCCCCAAGAGAAAAATGGCACAGAACAAAAAATATACCATGCTTATTTTGTTTATATGGCATAGTAAAACAAATCTAAATTTATATTAGTATACTGCTCTTTTATACTAAATTGAGACCTGTAAGAATGGCTAAAATCAACAAGAAACAACAGGTGTTGGTGACAATGTGAGACTAGGCCCCTTTTCTCTAGAAGAATAACAAGACTTGTAGTTCTAGAACTGTAGAGCTTTCATACAATTAGTGGAATCATTTTTTTATGTTAAGATTTCTGAGTCATGGCTTCAACCTGTTTGCTTTCCAAGTGAAATAGATAACTAAGAAATTTCTTAATTTACTTGGCTAATTCAGTGGGTTTTAATAAGACCTAGATTACTTGGGTTATTCATCAAGGCTTTTTGTGAGAGGAGTTGCTCTGAATCAGCCAATTAGCTGCTTTTTTCTTTTGAAACTTATTTTCATTAACATAATAAATCTAAATACCCTGGCATCCTCACTTATGCCTCTTTTCTATTGCATTTTCTAACACTCTTTCAAGAAATCATAACTTGAATTCCAGTAAAGAGCTTTAAAAGTTTAGAATACTTATTACTATTTTCAATTAAATGCAACAATATGGGTGGTTATTTTTTAAGTAATCCCCACACTCAGTGTGCGGCTCAAACTCACCACCCTGAGATCAAGAGTGCCACGTTCTATGGACTGAGCCAGCCAGGCGCCCCCCTTTTAAAATTTTTAATTTTTTTTTTTTGGTTGGGTGGGCATCTTAATCCCTTTGTAACGAAAAGTCTATTTTCAAAATGCAGTGGTAGTTGTTTTCTGCAGACGTTACTGGTAAAAACAATCAGCGAGCAAGTCCTACGCTACTCCTTTAAGCCCAGTGTGTTATTTTTCCGAGTTAGGTGTTGGAGTTTCTCGATTTTGTTAGCCTGCAAAATATTGGAAGGAAAGGTAATATTTTATACATTCATTTCAGCCTAATAAAACCAACACTGCCTCTTAAAACTCTTGAATTCATTCCTTATCAGCTATTTCTTTTCACTTTATCTCTAGGAGCCTTCCTTGTGATATTCCCACCGCTTTTCTGAAGTCCCACATCAGACTGCAATCTAATGGTTCTTCACAATCTTCTCTTTGGCCATTCCTTCACCGCCCCGCATCAGCACGTTTAGGGATACTTAACCACTCCTTTGCCAAAGAACACGAGAGCTTGTCTGCACGTTTGATCAAAATGCGTTCCCCTAAATTACACATCCTAATTCCTTTAATTTCTCCACTACTCGTACCTTTCCTCCAGCAAATGAACCTCGGATCTAAAGTTAAATCTGCCCCCGCCTCCAACCTCCCAGCTCCTACCTGCGGCCTTAAGGCTGTTGCCCTGCCCACTGAACCCAAGTTCCTCTCCCCAGGCCTTCCATTTCCCAAGAAAAACAATAGCCGCGTTGTTTTTCAGGGTTTTAAACACCAGTATCCATTTTCTTCCTCCTCCTTCGACCCGAGGGCCCTCGGCGCTTCCCCACCCGGACGCGACCTCCACCACCTACAAGCCGCTTTTCGCCGGGGCGCCACTTCCGGATCGCCGAGTGTCTCCGCTTTACCGGTCCGCCCACCTCCCCCGCGCACTTCCCAGAGCTTTGTCTTAAAACACTGGCGGGGTCGGAGCGGGGACGCAGGCTAGCCCGGAACAGAAGGTCTCCTAGAAGACGCGCTGAATGGCTGCTCCAGCCTGGCAACTCCCGCCGCGCTGCGGAGTCGAGGGGTGGCGGTGGAGGGACAGTTTGTTTTGAGCACCGAATGGGGTAACACCCGGAAGTGGCGCCGTACCCGAGTTGCGTTGCCGCCGGGGGCGGGTGCCGGGTACCGGGAGGTGGCGAGGAAGCCACGGTACTCTTTGCCGTAAGTGTCAGCGGAGGGTGCAATACCGCCAGAGGCGGGAGCTGGCCTGGTTCTGGCCCAGGTTTTACCGTGGTAGATCCGGCTGGGTTCCGGGAGTCGAGGGCTTCGTGGGGAGGCTGGACTGGTGGAGGGTTGCGGCGGCCGAAGGGGATCCCGCTCCCTTCTTTCTCCCATTCCTGGGGATCTGCTCTCTTTAGTTCACCAGCTTAGTCCTCCCACCCTTCGCCAGGCGAGTTGAGGGGAGTTTTACTAGGGAGGAAGTTGCAGCTGGAGCAGAGAATCCACTTGTGTTTTCGGCTTCTGGGAGGAGGCGAGCGGCTGCTTTGGTGGGGACTGTTGCTTTTCGGCCTCTTCATCTACAGTCCCTCCTGAGAAATGCTTTTCCTTCGCTGCTTTACCGACTCAGTTACTTCTCATATTTGTCTTTACCCCCTTCAGCTTCTGACTTTGACTCCTCTGCACCTTAAAAGATGCTGGAGTCATATGTGACTCCAATTTTAATGAGCTATGTGAATCGCTACATCAAGAATTTAAAGCCATCAGATCTACAGCTTTCGCTATGGGGTGGAGATGTGGTTCTCAGCAAGCTCGAGTTAAAGTTGGATGTGCTGGAACAGGTAAGCTGTGTAGCTGTCATTAACTGGAAACATTTTCAGCTAGTTTAGTAATCCATTGTTTCCTGCACTTCAGCTTTATGCTTTAAAAACTTAAATTGTCTGTTAAAGTATTTTGGACTACGCTGAAACTACAGACCTTCCTTTACAGAAGTTTTTTTCGTGGTTTGTTACTAGTGATGGTTTATTAGAATTGGATTCCCAAAAGGTGCCTCAACAGATAGGAAGACAGCTTCATTGTTCTTGTCAGAATTGTTCAGTCTGCTTACTCAATTCGGAAGCATTACCGGATATGCTAATAATATACGTTGCTAAGATTTCTGTATGAAGCTGGAAAATATATTCCCATTCTCCTTTTTGGGGAATGGAAGGGTCTGAAAGACAGCAAGAAAGTTCTCTTAGTAGGAAAGAGGACATGACATCCTCAGAGAATTGAGCAGACACAGATTGAGAATGCCAGTAAAATTGAAAACTTACTACTTATTCACTTTTTAGGTTTTTTTTCTTTTAACTTGAGAATGGTCTGATGTAAATAACTAATTTTAAAGTTCATATATTTATTAATCCACCGAGTACATTTATTACTGACATATGCCAGGCAACTCTGTTAGGCCTGAAATACAAAAACTATCTGTGGAAACTCTGAAGAGCCAGACCACCTGCTTTTTAGGAGATAAGGGAAGTCTTAATCTAATGGTGAAAGTTAATAATTTTTACATTCCACTGCTCCCTTTATTATTGAATAATCTAGAGTATCACTAAGAAATAATACTCTTGGTTCCTTCCCCTCTTCTCTCCAAGGTTAATTATCTTAATATTTTCATTTTTTAAAAATGACCACATGTCCTAAATGTACAGCTCAGTTTTTATGTATGTATACACGTGTGTAACCACTGTGGAGATGAAATAGAATATTTCCTGCACCTTAAATGGCTCCCCTTTGCAAATCAGTATTCCCACCCCCTAAAACAGGTGACTGTTATTCTGACTTTTCTCAACATAAAGAAGTTTTGCTTGTTCTTGAACCTTAATAAATTGGAATCACTTGTGTCTGGCTGTTTAACTTTATGGCTAAGATTAACCCATGTTGTTGCAGGAGCTGTCATTTGTATTGCCTTGCAGTATTCCGTTGGCTAAAGATTCACAATTTATTTTCCCATTGATGTACATTTGGGTGGTTTCTACTTTTGGCTGTTATGAAGAAAGTTCTTGTGAACATTCTTGTACATGTATATTGGTGGACATAGGTATTAATTTCTCTTAGGTGTATACTTAGGTATGTATATGTTTAGCTTTGATGGATACTGCCAAATAGTTTTCCAAAGTGGTTGTATCAATTTACATTCTCACCAACGGTGGATGAGAGGTCCAGTTACTTCAAGTTTTTGGTATTACTTGGCATGTTTGTTATTTTAATTTTAGCCTTTCTGGTGGGTGTGTAGTGGTCTCTATTTAAATTTGCATTTCCTTAATGGGTAATGATGTTGAACACATTTTCACGTGCTGATTATTGGCTATTTGAATATCCTCTTTTGTAAAGTCTCTAATTCTTTTGCCTTTTAAAAAAAAATTGGGTATTTTTTTTTAATTGATGTGGAGGGGTTCTTTACATATTTTGGAAATGAGTCCTTTGCTAGATATATTTTGCAATATCTTCTCCCAGTCTGTGGCTTGGCTTTTTACTCTCTTAAAATTATCTTTTGATGAATAGAAGTTCATAATTTCACTGAGGTCCAAGTTGTCAATCTTTTCCTTTAAGAAATTTTTGCTTATTCCAGGTACATGAAGATACTCTTTTTTTTTTATTTTAATCACCCCATGCTCATCATGACAAGTGCATTCCTTAATACCCATCACCTGTTTAACCCATCCTCCCACCCCCTCCTCTGGTAACCATTAGTTTATTCTGTTAATTGGTTTGCCTTCCTCTTTTTTTTTAAATTTTATTTATTTATTTGACAGAGGGAGACACGGTGAGAGAGGGAACACAAGCAGGGGGAGTGGGAGAGGGAGAAGCAGGCTCCCCACTGAGCAGGGAGCCCAACACGGGGCTTGATCTAAGGACCCTGGGATCACGACCTGAGCCAAAGGCAGACGCTTAACGACTGAGCCACTCAGGCGCCCGCCTTCCTCTCTTTTTGCCCCCCTTTACTCGTTTGTTTTGTTTCTTAAATTCCACATAGTGGTGAAATCATATGGTATTTGTCTTTCTCTGACTTACTTCACTTAGCGTTATACACTCTAGCTCCATCCATGTTGCAAATAGCAAGATTTCATTCTTTTTTATGGCTGAATAATATTCCATTATATATGTATAGATAGAAATACCTATATTTATCTATCTCCTTTATCCATTCATCAGTCGGTGGACATTTGGGCTCTTTCCGTAATTTGTGTATTGTTGATAATGCTGCTGTAAACATCGGGGTGTGTGTATCCCTTCAAATTAGTATTTTTGTATCCTTTGGGTAAATACCCAGTAGTAAATTGCTGGATCATAGGGCACTCAGTGGATTATTAAAACCTCCATACTGTTTTCCAGAGTGGCTGCACCAGTTTGCATTCCCAGCAACAGTGCAAGAAGGTTCCCCTTTTCCCACGTCCTCAGTAACACCTGTTGTTTCTTGTGTTGTTGAGTTTAGCCATTCTGACAGGTGTGAGGTGATATCTCATTGTAGTTTTGATTTGCATTTCCCTGATGATGAGTGATGCTGAGCATCTTTTCATATGTCTATTGGCCATCTGTAGGTCTTTTTGGAGAACTGTCTATGCGTGTCTTCTGCCCATTTTAATCAGATAGTTTGGTTTTTGGGTGTTGGCTTTTGTAAGTTCTTTACATATTTTGGATACTAACCCTTTATCAGATATGCCATTTGCAAATATCTTCTCCTATTCCATAGGTTGCTTTTTAGTTTTGTTAATGGTTTCCTTTGTTATGCAGAAGCTTTTATTTTGATGAAGTCCCAGTAGTTTCCCTTGCCTCTGGATACGTGTCTAATAAGAAGTTGCTATGGCCAAGATCAAAGATGTTGCTGCCTGTGTTCCTCTAGGATTTTGATGGTTTCCTGTCTCACATTTAGGTCTTTTGAATTTATTTTTGTGTATGGTGTAAGAAAATGGTCCAGTTTCATTTTTTTGCATATTGCTGTCCCATCTCTTGTTTTCTTTTAGAAGTTTTATTGGTTTTTTTTTTTTTTTGATTTATCTAAAATTTTTCTGGAAGTGTGAAGTAGAGGTCAAGATGCACTTTTTTTTTCCTTTGAGACTCATTTGATCCACACCATTTGTTGAACCATTCTTTTTCTACTGAATTGCAGTAAGCCTTACTGCAAATCAGGTTGTCATATATGTGTGGATTTATTTCTGAACTCTGTATTTGCTCAGTAGTCTATTTGTCTATTCTTGTGTCATTACCATACTGTCTTTTACAGTGTTTTGATGTCTCATAGTGTAATTTGTGTAACTTTGTTATTTTTTTCCTTGTTGTAACTATTGTGGATCCTTTGCATTTTCACATACATTTTAGTTTCAATTTGTAAATTTTAGAATTTTCCCCTAAGGGGGAAACCCACTGACATTTTTGTTGAGGTTACATGAAATCAATAGATTAATTTGGGAGGCATTAACATTAACACATACTGTTTTAACATAGTATTGAGGACAGAACATTGCTTTCTGTATTTTTAAGTCTTCAATTTTTCTCAGCAATGATTTGAAGTTTTCAAGAGAGGCCTTGCACATATTTCATTAAATATGATCTTTTTTTTGTTATAAGGAGCATTATTTCTTAAAAATTTCATTTTCTAAGTACATTACCAGTGCACAGAAATACAGTTGTTTTAGTACATTGGCCTTCCATTCAGTGCCCTTTCTAACTTGTATGATTTGGTGTTTTCTTTTAGATTGCCTGTGTATGCAATCATGCCATTTGCAAATAGTGACAGTTTTACATCTTCCAGTGCTTGTACCTTTTATTTCTTTATTGCGGTGTGGAGTAGACATCTTGAAAATACTCTTTTTTTGTTCCCACCTTCAGTGTTAAAGTGCTCAATATTTTACTATTAAGCATGTTGCTAGCTGTAAGTACTCCTTACTGGGTAAGGAAATGCTCTTTTGTTCCTCCTTTTACAAGTTTTTAAAAATCATGAATGGGTTTGAATTTTATCAAATATTACATTTAATGAATTTATGTGATTTTTCTTTTATTCTGTTAATGTGGTGAATTACATTGAGTTTTTAGATGGAGTTTGAATTCCTGGCATAAACCCATACTTCGTATTAACCTTTTTATGTGTTGGCTTTGATTTGCTAAATTTTTGTTTAGTTTTGTAGCAGGTATGTTCATAAGTGATTCTGGTCTGTGCTCTCGTAATGTCCTTACCTGGTTTGGATTATCATAGATATGTTGCTTCATTAAATTATTAAGTATTTTGTTTTTTTATAAATGAGTTTGTGTAAGATTGATATTAGTTTTTTTTATTTTGGTAAAATATATGTACCCAAATTACCATTTTTGCCATTTTTTATTATGGTTCTGTGGGGCATTGCTAACATTTACGTTGTTGTGCAGCCATTAGCACCACCCATCCCCAGAACTTCTTTAGTTTCCCAAACCGAACCTCTGTACCCTTTGATCCACTCATTCACTATTCTGTCTTACCAGCCCCTGGCAATCAGCATTCTACTTTGTTTTTATGAATTTGACTACTCTTACACCTCACAAGTGGAAACCTACAATAGTTATCATTTTGTGGCTGGCTTATTTAACTCATTAGCACAGTGTCTTTAAGGTTCATTCATATTGTAGCATGTATCACAATTTCCTTCCTTTTTAAGGCTGAATAATATTCCATTGTATATGCCATATTTTGTTCATTTGTCCATTGATGCACATTTGCGTTGTTTCTACCTTTTGGCTACTGTGAGTAATACTGCTGCAAACATGGATGTACAAATATCTATTTTGAGTCCCTGCTTTCATTTGTTTTGGGTATATACCCACC